CAGCCATCGGCCGTCGATGGTCAACAGGTAACCACCACAGCCTGGGCGCAAGGCCCAACCGTCTAGACTTTGAAAGGTATGATTGCTTGTATATGGTATATGCTTCTTCATGCTATATGTCTGAGATGCTTATGAGAGGTAGATATATTGAAGAAGAAAACGGATTGAACGCTTGTGATTCGAACCTTGGGAAGGTGGCTGTAACAACATGGAAAAGCCAGTATTGTCATAAGTGATTTGGTGCTGCCGCGTTAATTCATTTTTCACTGGCGTCAGCTGCAGCGCTACTTTACGCTGTTAAAGCACGGCGCTGGTTTGTTTCTAATAAAGTTGTTCCCGATGAGCATGAATAAGGCTTACGTAAGACGGTGAAGCGACGCCGGCTACACACAAGGTAGAGCGTCCGTTTGATAAGATGATCAGGACGTCTTCTACCGACTGTACACAAGAATGCAGATGTTAATGGCATGGTCACGCTCACGTACAGGGACAAGAAATATCAGGAAAACAGAGGCTACTTCAATGTCACTGAAAATTTATTTATCGTGCAGTAGTTTTCGCTATAAGGGAAAGAGAGAGTGATCGAGGTGGGTGCTACTCCATCTCTGCAGCAGATATCGTTCTTCCATTTCTACCCTAAGCGCAGCTTATTATTTGTCAGAACATAGGCATACGTTTCTATCCGTCCATCTTTTTGCGTATTATTGATTTGTCTGATGTGGGTTCGGTGAACGTAAAACGCTGTTGTTCCGTGGCTGCTGTAAAACGCGGTCTTAAACTTATTTGTAGCCGGATAAAAAGCCGGCCGCCGATTTGGAGTACGGTAGAAGACAATCGGCGCTTGGGTACCGCGATGACCGTCGCAGGAAGTACGGTTGTGCCGCTGGCCATCGGACGGCCAACGGCGCTCTCTGTTGTTGTACGATGCACAATAAAGTAAAACATCAAATCAGATCGTTGAATGTGAATTAGCGAATAAATCACCGATTTAGGAATTTGAGTTTGTGAAATTGGATTTGCGCCGCATTCACGCACGACGCCTGAGCATTTGCCACCAATAGACGACCGCCGGATTTCCATTAGCCGCAACCGCCGCCGTCGGTCGACTTTGTAATTTAGGCAATTTGCCTCCGTCGCGCGCCTGTCTTCCCTCGCACAGGGCCATCATTACGCGACCGCCGCGGCCGCTTCGACGTTGGCATTGGTCATTACGACGGCTTCTACCAGAAAGCACCTTATATTGCGATGTTAATGTGTCTGGTGCGAAGGTCGAAGCTGGACGTCGTCTAGATTATGTAGCGTTATGGAACGATCGATAAAGCCGTTACATCCTGCGAAAATATCTGCCTGTCAAGCATCACAATCAGCCGACCAAACTTCAAAGTGTCGGTAAAAAGTGCTATTCATTTCTTTCTGAATAAATGAATGACGTGCTTCACGAATTGACTGCCGTTTAACTACTGTCTGCATGAAAGTGCTATCGTAATAAGTCTGCCGTTTATTCCTGCCTGCCTTACATCGTCTTGCTAGAAGCACTGCTGACGACGACACGCCGCGCGACAAGTTCGCTCGATGCGTTGGTCGCGCCAACGGTTCATGAGACCACCACTTCACTGAGCAGACATATCGGTAGCTAGCGCTGGACGTTGCGTCGTTCCGTCGTACGCCAGGCTGCGTTGCACACAGAGACCGAGGTCGAGGCCGAGGCCGACACCGAAACCGAGACCGAGAATGATGGGGGTAAAGACGACGGGAGGGTCGTATAGTCTGAGGCTGCGGCAGCGGTAGAGAACGACATTTGCCCAGATTGCAATTTAGGATGAGGTGCAACAATGGCACCGTACACTGAGCCGGACCCTGGCAAACAATACGCGTTCGTCACAGACGTCAAGAGTTAGCTGGAAAGGCTGGAAACGGACATAAAAACCAGACACGCCATTCCGACATTAGAAACACGTCCATTGCGACAGGAAAAACTTTACGGCGGCGACTTTTAGTCATGCAGCCTGACCAGAAACTGGCCGGCTCCAATTTAAGGTCGTCACCGCTGCCGCCGCGTACACGATGGTCCTAGGGTAAGACGGTCGGAGCGGATGGCGCACCTGACCGTGTTCGACTGATTGGCTACGTTTGGTGTCTGGTCGTGCGGCACCACATAACAGCGTCCAACCAGCGTCGTCTCATCAACAGCTATATCGCAGCCTTCGTCACGAAGCCGACCACGTCGCGGCACTTCTGTACCAGACCAGGGCCGGCGCCCGCGCTCTTACCGTATTCAATTTACGGTTTTTGCCGCCGCAGACGCCCGGCGCTAAATCGCCGTCGCCAGAGCCGAACCTCACCTCAATTCGTCGAAATTCAATACGCACAGAAATGCGACGTCAGTTTTTCATTCGTTCGTCTGAAGGCCTTAAATTTAATGTACCACCGCGCGTTCATCGCACCAGGCAACACCGTGCGACGCCGCACCGCCGCCCGGCAGCCCCTCGGACGTTGCCGTTTACGATACGTGCCGTGCGAAAACATAATGGGCAAAAACGACCCACAGCAGCCTAGTTCTTTCGTCCGGTCGGTCGTTCCACCGCTCGTTCGCCGCCGCAGCGATTCACAACGGAAGCAGACCTCGCGCCTTGTTGCCTCGTCTCTACCTTATCACTGGTGATATGGCGGAGAGCTTCGCTTTAGTTTCGGTGCCTCGTCCATACTCCCTCGTTCATTCCTTATTCTGTCCGTTACTATGCTCGACGCTTGACCGTCT